TCTAGGACCTGGACCGGGAGGATCTGGGATCTGGTCTTGGACCTGGACCCGGTCTCTTGGACCTGGTGTTGGACCTGGACCTGGGACTCTGGGACCTGGACCCGGTCTCTTGGACCCGGTCTGGGACCTGGACCCGGTCTCTTGGACCCGGTCTGGGACCTGGGACCTGGACCGGGGCTCTGGGACCTGGTCTTGGACATGGGACCTGGTCTGGGACCTGGACCCAGGGCTCTGGGACCTGGACCTGGTCTTGGACCTGGTCTTGGACCTGGTCTGGGACCTGGACTGGGACCTGGACCCGGGATCTGGGACCTGGACCCGGTCTTGGACATGGACCCGGTCTCTGGGACCTGGTCTTGGACCTGGACCCGGTCTGGGATCTGGTCTGGGATCTGGTCCGGGTTTCTGGAACGAGGAGGTTTAGAAGGAAGGTACAGAAAGAGACTCTGAGATTCCACCGGACACAGATAGTAGCAGGCAAAGGAGGCAGGAGAAGAAGAAGAAGAGGAAGTAGAGGAAGTAGAAGAAGAAGAGGACGTAGAGGATGAAGAAGTAGAAGAAGAAGAGGAAGTAGAAAAAACAGGAAGTGGAAGAGGAAGTATAGAAAGAGGAAGTAGAGCGGGAGGAAGTAGAAGAAGTAGAAGAGGAAGTTCTAGAAAAAGAGGAAGTAGAAGAAGAGGAAGAAGAAGAGGAGGAAGAGGAAGTAGTAGAAGAAGAGGTAGAAAAAGAAAAAGAAGGGGGGTGGAAGAGCTATGTTGTTTTTGAAGGCTGGACATTAGCAAAAGATGCACGTTTCCTTTAGACTAAAAGCTTCGACTTCGTTTCAACACATTAAAGAAACGTGTCATTTAAATAAAACTTATAAATTCAACCTCTGTCTGGTTTGTTTTCCTCCTCAGATCGAGGGAACGACAACTGGCTGATCAAGTACGAGAAACCGGGGGAAGAAACCGAAGTTCAGAAGGTCAGTTTAAGTCATTTTTACTCTCACGTGATGTTTGATATCTGTATTGTGACTCTGTTTGTTGCCATAGCAACACTGTCATTATCCATTTACTGGCAGATGAGTCAGTTTGAACTGATCGGTCCTATTGATCAGTTCCTCGGAACTGAGCTTAATAATTTGCTGGGCCCTGATTGGACAACAGGTCTCTGTGGGTTATCTGGAGTCCGCTTCTTTTTTTTAACTGTTTACTAAAAAACTTCAGGCAACATTACAAAAAACATAAAATATATTCACAAAATTAAATCTTCCAATGGAGCCTGGGAAGGGCGAGGTAAAAAAAAACTATGGTGGAAAGTTTTTAAACTTCACAATAAAAGTCTTATTCACACAATATCAATGAACTGTAAATATACATTTTAAATCCTTTTAAATCCTTTTGAATAATTCAATAACAAAAAATATTTATCTTCATCGTGAATTAGCATATTTTTAAATAAAAAATATGGCGGAAGGTTTTTAAACTTCACAATAAAAGTCTTACTCAAACAGTATCAACGAACTGTAAATATCTATTTTCAATCCTTTTAAATCCTTTTGAATCAATAAATAACACAAAATATTTATCTTGAAATAAAAAAATAAATATTATTTAAAATAAATTATTATTATTATTTAAATTAAAAAAATTCCTACTAGAATTAACTGCATTTAGGCTCCTACAGTCTCTAAAATAAAGGTGCTGTGGTGTTTAATCCTCCTTATTTTCTTTTTTCTTCCCTGCAGGACACAGATTGGCCGGAGAACAGTCCGGACTCCTGCATTAAGATCGCAGCCATCGATAACGGACTCGCGTTCCCCTTCAAGCACCCGGACGAGTGGAGGGCCTGTAGGTTCCTCTGTCTGTCAGCAAAAAACACCTGAAGGAAATGTTTTAAAACCCAGGACTACTAATAATGATACAGACACACAAACACATAAAAAAGTCCATTGATTTTAAGTAAACAAGCTGGAAAAAGGGGATTTTGTTTCTATCT